ATCCCCCGACATTTCCTCCACCGCCGCGCCGTCACCCACTGCAACCCACCTCGCAATTCGCGGCCGCCCGCTCGCCACGGCCACCCCCTGCCACAACCACCACCACGCCCGCACCGCCACCGCCCGCCCGCCTCGTCGCCGCCCGCCACCGCCACCCGCCACCCGCCCCGAACCGCCACACGCACAAATCCACTGCCGCCGCCGGATCCGCCACCGCCCACAACCCCACCACCACCCACCACCCACCAACGCCGCCGCCACCGCCCCCACCTCCGTCACCCCCACATCACCCACCACCGCCGCGCCCACCGCGCCCACCGGCGAGGGGCGGCGGCGACACCCCGCGCAGCCCGCGAGCGCGGGCGGTCTGGGCGCGTGCGAAACGACCCACGTGGTCAGAGGCACAAATGCACTTGCGCCCCGGGGGCGGCGACGGCGGCGGTGGCCGAGGCTGCAAGGTGCCCCGGGGGCGGAGCTCTGCCTGGACCAGTCGGTGCCCGCCCCTCGCACCGGCAGCAGCAGTGGCAGTGCCAGCGCGGGCCACCGGCGCACCAGCAGACACCCCGACACTCCGGCGACTTGCTCCTTCCGGTCGCACCCTCGACACCGGAGACCCAATACACGCTGCTTCCACTGCACTATTGGAAAGAATTTTTATTATTCTCATTAACCGCGAAGCAATAAGGCTACTACGTTCTAACTGCAACGATTTCTCAGAGAGCCCAAGTCGTCACGAAGGAAAAGACTTGGGAGAATAGAGAGCTTGCGCCATCCAGCCTCCTTCCAGTGACGGTCGGCGCGCGCGCCTGCGCACGAGGGATGACGGTGGAGGCGGCGCGGGACGAGCTGGCCGGCCCGCGGGTGCCCGCCATGTTCCCCATCGTGCCGCCGCACCTGAGCCGCCTGCCGTCGGTGGCTGCGGGGGCGGGGGCGGCGGCGCGTGCGGCGGAGGAGGAGAGCGCCTGCGCCGCCTGTTTCATCCCTCGCGGCGCCACCTCCGCCGCCCTCGCCCCGGCCGACCTCTGCGCGCCGCGGGACAACGCTCGCTGCGCCTCGCCCGTGAGTACATGCAATCATCGCTAGGTTCCACACATTCGGCATTCGCCGAGCAGCGCGTTACTGCTCGCCCAATCCCCAACAGCTGATGTGTTCGGCGAATGTTCGCTCCCTTTGATGTGTCCTAAAGACCGACACGCGGTGGGTAGTGCGAATACCGCGTGTTCGGCGCTTGGGGAGAATCGCAAGCAACCCGTCCAGTACTCGGGATTCGGCGAGCGGTTGCCCGGAATTCGCCGAATTTGTGGAGCCGCCTATATATGAAGGCTCTCGGCTGTTCGCGTTTTCTTCAGGGTTGTAGTAACGTTACAATGGTCGAAACGTCGGCATCATTGCGCTCGTCACTGTGTCATCCGAACTCGCGAGTGCGTTCACATGTCTCTGTCCGCGAAAGCCAGCGCTAGGTTACATTTGTGTTCATTGAGCACTTTTGACACAGGCTCAAATCGCCAATGTGAAGGGCACGATGTATGCTAAATGTAATTATTTTGATTAAAAATTTAAACATTTGGTCTGCTTTAAAAATTTAGTCTGCTTTAAAAATATAGTCTGCTTTGTGGATTAATATAGTCTGCTTTGTGGATTGTGGTTCTGTCTCCACAAAGTCAAACAGTATTTAGGTCTGATTTAAAAAACATAGTTATTACTTATTTTGGTAATGGTTATTGGTTTAAATAAAGCCAGTCTACATTATTTGGCATCTTGTAAGTTCCACATTGTAAAGAAGGCCAGCAATGCATTGTGCCAGAGACACTTAACGTCTTAAATTCGATAATACAGTGTATTCCAAACAAGTGTTTATTTATATTTATTTGTTGTAGATTGTATTTATCCTTGCTGTCTATTGAAAACACTTTTTAGATTTTTAGCAATTTGAATTTTTGTGCTATGAAAATTTTTTCAGTAAATTACCTTCCAAAAAATCTATAATTTTCGAAAATTGCAAAGATAAAATATATTTTGAGGTCCTCCTACAACTATAATATTAAAGAAAGAGGGTTTTTCTTTATAAAATATGTTCTTCAAATAATGCAAATTCTTTAAATAAGGCCCTGTACAATTTTTTGAAAATGTAAGTAGTTTTCACGTAATTTTCTGGAAAACATAGGCCGCTTTTATACCATTATTTTCTGAAAAAGTCTTCAATTTTTGGCTTCGGATAGATCAAAAGGCCCAATTCCCGTTTTCGGCTCACACTCTTCAGAGATGAATTGAAAATAGAAAAGAAAAAAAATGAACATTGCAAAAGCATAATATCGTATTAGATATTTTTTATGCAATTGGTCCTAAAATATTGACTTTTAAATACGTTTATATGCATTTATTCTAATTGAGTAGCTACGATATTTACCGTAGCTGAAGTCGTAGGTTTCCGCGGCCAGCGTTATGCAAATCATTCTTGCTGTCCGGGTGACGCCGTGTCGAAGGTTCTGATTCCAACGTTTCGACCGTCTTTTCTTGGTCTTCCTCAGGGCTGGTCTACCAAGGCTATTACAGCAGGCCAGCCCTGAGTAAGACCACTAAAAAGTGGTCAAAACGTCAGCACTACAGCCTTCGCCGCGGCGCCACCCGGACAGCCAAAATCATTTGCATTCGCAGGAGCTATATCGCACCGGCTTTCACCAGGTGCATACAAGTTGAAGCACCCAGAAACAATCTCGTGTTAAACTGAGAATAATGTAGCGTGCTTTGGCGTGCGTGCGCAGCTGCGGCTGGCGGTGGGCGCGGCCGGGGAGTTGGCGCCGGCGGAGGGCGGTGGCGGTGGCGGCGGCGGCGGCGCGTGGGTGCGGC